CAAGTCAATTTTTTGAATATATTTTTTTGCATGAATTTGCCTAGAGTAGACCCTATCTAGATCTAGAGGTCTACAGACAGACTTCAGACTGAATCTGCTTGTAAGTTGTAGTAGTAGTACATAATTTCATTATCATGATTATCATTACAATATATGGAACGTAAGAACTCATGGAGAATCATTGCAATTCTGACATAATATAATTTCTGTTAATGATCATTGAGATCACACACACATCATCATACGCCGTTTGCACATAACGTCATCGCAAGATGTAAACACACACAAAAGGCACACAAACCGCTCATCATTCGATTGGATACTTACAGCGCCTAATCCACAGCACATTTTATCACTTTATCCGGACGATAACTTCTAGAAAGAATGATCAGTAGTTGCTATAATATTCTGTAGAGCAAAAAATCTTCCTTGGACCGGGATATAATTTAATAATATTCACAAATTTAACTTTGAAAAATTGCTTTCCAACGATGTTACTGACTATACCGTCATGTACATAATATTTGTTGTTTTGTCATATCCTGAGTTAGTCTTTTGGAAGTATTTTATTTAATGATATTCTCATGTCGCTTTATATTTTGTTGTTTGAAATATATATTTACAAATTCAGATTACTTAAGAAATTATTGGAAAATATCTAAAATATATTGGTCAGCCGCAGTAATTGGTAACTAATTCTATATAATTATAATGTTATATTTTTGTATTTAGGTATAAAATAGTATAGCCTAGATTTAGACAAAGACACAGAGCAAGCCCTATTTATAGATTTGACGATTTAATTATGTCAAAGCTGTCAACAGAGGGAGACAGGCATGAAACACATAACGATCCGACCTCGTCTGTTATAAAGAATCGAAGTTGTAATAAAAGCAGAACAAATGAGAGAATTAATGAGGGTAATGCATGGCATCCGTGCCAAAACTCTTGCAAAAATACTAAGGACTAGGATACGGGTGGATGCCACGTGCATTTTTGAAAAATGGAAAGAATATAATTTAATCTCTTTGGCAGCTCACTCAGAAAGCTATAATGATGGTAGGTGAGGGGAGTATAGCTACAAGGAGTGTCATGAATTGCTGGAATAAATAATAATAATAATAATAAAAACGTTACTTATAAAGCGGAATGGTGTGTGGACAAAGCACTTGTTAATTTACATTAAGATATGTTAAGTCCAGTGCAAGTAAAAATCAAGCTAGTAAGCTTATATGATGTGAGAACCTACAGGGGGCTGCATCCTTGGACCTACTAGGGAAGGGGGGGGGGGGGGGGGGGTAGTGAGCACATTTTTAAAATTTATTTTTGGGTCACGAAATTTTTAAATTTGACATTTTGCTCCGTTGGGGGGAGGGGGGTAAGGTCACCTTTTTAGGTCAGCCATTGGTATTTTTTTCTCCATTTTTTTATAAAAATAATTTTGTTTGGGCCGGGGGGGGGGACGTCCCTGTTTTTCAGTACATTTTTGGCGAATTTAGGGCTGATTTTAACATATTTTTTTGGCCGGGGGGGGGGGGGTTCTTAGCTTATAGTTCTAAGGAGAACTATAGCGCTTGAAGAGAATGAGTGGCGGGACTCATCCACTCATCCTCTCCAAGCGCTACTATAAGCTAAGAAAGATAACCAACAGTGTTTTTCAAGACTACACAAACAATCATTTTCAGGACTACACACCCTCAAGAAAGACTACCGAGAGTCCTTTTCAGGACTCCTCAATCCTCTCTCTCTCTCTCTCTCTCTCTCACATGGTGCACCCGCAAGCCTACTGTATATGTCATAAATTATTGTACACCCTTATTTGCTTATGGCTCGAACTTTTGCTTGGTTATTTGGTACTGGAGGATTTACATGAAGGAAAAAATCTTGTTTACATGGTCGCATTATTTCTACCTTATTCATTTTATTTTAAATGTGTCTACTTACTTTTGGTCCTCTTCTGCTCTCTCGGTCTGTCAACATCATCATCGTACACAACTTATTTAATAAAACTTACCGAATTAAAGCTGTTATATATGTATTCTATATTTACTGTAATTGTCTTTGTTTATGATTTTTTTTTTGTCGACTGATCTGGAAAATGTTACCAGTGAAAACACTATGAATATGGCGGACAAAGAAAGCGGACAAAATATACAGTTCCTCAGGTAGACAAAGGAACACCCCTTCACTGCTATTATGTAAAAAGGTGAATATGCATGTGACACCTGTTCTACACATTTTTGCATAATAGCAGTGAAGGGATGTTCCTTTGTTTACCTGAGGAACTGTACATTTTGTCCGCTTTCGTTGTCAGTCATGTTCATAGTGAAACCAAATTTCCGAATGGATAATAAATGCTTAATTTCATTTCAACTGCGGCTTCACCCTAGATGACCTAAATACTCTCCCACTAAAAAGTGGCCTCGCCCTTTGCATAGGAGTCATATACTCTGGCCAAATCTGAAAAAAAAATTTAATTGAGTATAATATCTCCCACCCCTCCCCCTTAAAAGGTACCCTCGCCCTTTGCCAAATCAGAAACCTTGATGTATTTGATTTTGTTAATTTTACGTTTGACAGAGATTTTATAACATACATCTCCCGGTCAAAAGTTCTTGGATATATCTTTGACCACAATTAGTGAGGGAATACATGTATCGGTGAAAGCTATTGCATTTCACAATACTAGGGAAGCAAGGTGTTTGTCGTGCTGGAATTTATTTTTCAAAACAGGGCCATAAACGGATTTTCCTATAAAATATTTTATGGGGGCCATACAAATAATTTATCAGACGGACGTTGAGTGCATAATGTCTCAGGTTTTGCAATAAAAATACACATAAAATGCGTGGGGGGGGGGTGACGGTGGATATACGGGACATGACCTAAAGCAAAATAAATACTTGATATATATATATACAAAGGTAATCTTCTTGTCTTGCTTTTATATTCATATGTTATTTCTGTGTTTAAAGAGCATCATTATACATTTCATTTACATAGTTTTTAAAAAATAAATCGAGATTAATGTTCATGTATACAAACAACACAAACTAATTCTTACATACTTTAAACAAGAAAAACGCATGGTACATCTATTGTTAAACGGTAATGCCTTATAACGATGAATAAAGGATGCAAAATTATATCGCTTACGTCATATATATACAATTACACGAAATAATAAAACTGTATAAAAATATAACTCTGAATGGCAGTGTAAAACACAAGTACAAAATAAGAAAATTACTGGAGAGTAATTTGCTTGCAATTTGGAAGATATTTGGCTTAAACGTTTTCAAAATATACATAATAACAAAAATGACACCAAATAAAAAGAGTTGTTGTCAATTTCCCCTTATAAACCCCCTCTATCTCTCCCTCTCTCTCTCTCTCGCTCTCTCTCTCCCTTCCTCCCTCCCTCCTGTTCGCCCTCTTAAAATCGGTCATGACTACAAAGAAAATGATTTCGATTTGTTGTATGCATAATTATAAATCCCAATCACTCGAGTATAAAGCTGAAGACAAAAAATCCTCCACTTTCAAGTCAATAGCTAATTCATATTATTTAAATTTCTAGTGAAATTTAAAAAAAAATCAGCTTCTTCTATCAACGCCCAAAGTTAGACGTAATGTTTAAAGGTATGGATTTGGCAGCATAGGATTATGACCATTAGAAATTCATTTACCATGCAAAATCATTATTATGTCATACATAACTGACGGATAATGGAGTTGTATATTCACTGTGATCTTCATGATAACCATAGTTCATTATATCTCAACAACGTACTGATTAGGGAATTATAATCATCAAATAACAGTTTTTGGTTTAAACATGAGTCCATGATGGGAAAGCACTCAAAAGACTATTTTAAAAACCCTCCAACAATATCATATGCAACATCGTAGATGAATAGATTACAAATTGAGCATTGGTTATAGTTTACTCCTTTTGGAGACACACAAAATGATCATAACAAACTACATGCATGTACACAATGATCGATACTAATATAATCTGAGTATGCACAGCATATACATTTACATTTTAACGTTTATATCATACCAATTGGTCATCCTTCAAAGGCTACATGCATTCATATATACATTTGATCAGGTTTTCAACCTTCGATTCTTTAAAACTTTTGCCTCATTCCGATTACATATCAAGTTAATTGAAAGGCCCCAAACCATCACCAAAAATTGCAATTTACGAGCTCCATTTTTTTTTTTACTTACATGAATACAAAACGCTATTTCAAGATTTACATATTGGCAGGCTTCATCAAACCTTCGTCTTTAAAGATAAAACAAGCCAGATGCAACTAATTTTCAAGGTAAAATCCAGTACTTTAAAAACATTCCTATGCCCGCACAAGAATATTAATTTGCCACAGCAATATCAGCAACGTGCACGGCCTTTGGCGCATCTAAATTGACGATTGAAGCTAGCAAATTTACTAAAAAAATATTCAAACGCATAGAGACATGTAACAAACGTTAGCAATATAAATGCAAGAGAACAAACGTGACGTAAACGAATATACACATGTACATTATGAAAAATAAAATGTAAGTCCGAAAAAACATCTGGACTTGGACTTATATCACGCGGTTTTCTTATCACAAACACTGCATTACAAATTATATAAAATATCTAAGGAAACAGGAAATACATTCATGAAACAGCCATATTTATGTGTAAACTATGTTAACTACACACAAAATAGAGGATGATGAGGCATCTTGCAATTGATGAATAAAAAAGAGTTTTCTCTGGAAAGCCCAAAAACTAGAACGTTGGTTAATGATCACAGACCGTCACACTTTGATTTAACATTACATCACACACTTTAGAATATATTATTCTGGAAGCACTAAACCCCATTATTTCTGAGTTTGATATAGACAGGATTGAGGAGGGCAGCACGTACGTCTCAATTTATTGCTTTTTTTCACTTTAAAAACAAATCAAAAATATTATTTGGCATCTCAAGCCAGAAAAAAAAGAAGGTAAAAACATCCAATTAAAAAAAACATGATCGCAGATACTTTTCCCATAATTATAGCGACTATTCATCAATGAAATAAACCTAAGCAAATCCAAAAATAACTGTACAAAACAACAAAGCTATCCCGAGTTTTATCCACAAGGTGCCGAAAAGATGTTCCAGAAATCGTTGGCCTGGAACAATTTAGGACATTTAACGACTTTTACTGTCCAAATGGTCATGATTCACTTCGTTTCGCCCACCATATCTCTTGTAAGAGGGTTATATTGTCAGGGTAGTCATTATGATAATAGGTTCATTTATATAGCGCAGGTACTGTAATGAATAACTCTACTGCTAATTAATACAAAGTATTATTACCCCGGCTGTAGCTTAGCCACCATAATCAGGCGCTAAAGCATAATGGATTTCTTCCTACTAGGTACCCATTTAATTCACCTGGATGAAGAGTGGCACATGCAGATTAATGTCTTGCCAAAGGATATGTGTGCCGAGGTGGGACTCAAACTGCGGACCATGTCATTCACAGTCTGGTGACGATGATGTATCCACTAAACCACGACACCTCTACAATATTATTGTAATGGTAAACCGACCCCATTGATAGGTTAAAGATTGATCTGTTCATAATTATAATTAAGCTGTAGAGAATATAGAGCTATAGCTTCCCCAGGTCCACAGACAAAGATCTGAGCAAGTCTCTTTACTATTCCTCTATCAAAAGATAATGAAAGCATATAAATGAAATCTCTGCTGACAGAGTCCACTTTATAAAAAATATCACTGAAGCCTACTATAGCTAATCAAGGAAACACCCTGAGTACTTCATCTCGTAGGAAAAACTTCCATAGGCAGCTGCTACAGAAACATCTCAAGACGGACGCCACAAGATGTAGCCTGTATCATTCTTACTCTCAGCAGCGGGTGTTTGTCCTTTGGACTTGGACTCCATAGTAGTATCTGCCCCGGGAGACGGGTTGAAGTTCTTGTTCAACCACTCCGCTGCCGAAGGTGCCTCCTGCAAACGGAAACGATAGAAGAAAAGAAAGGGCAAGGGCAGGAAAGGATAAATAAAGGAGAATAAAGAGAAAGTGTGTGTGTGTGAGAGAGAGAGAGAGAGAGAGAGAGAGAGAGAGAGAGTGAGATAGAGAAAGAAAGAGAGGGGGAAGGGGGGGGTGAGGGCGTAGGAGAAATACGGTGGTGATTATTTGAGAAATTATACATCAGGAAAGTAGTCTGTAATCATTTCATCAGAGGTTTACTTTAACATCAATTATGAATATTTTGTGTATGATAGCAGGCTTCCTTCACCTAAATGATTAAACTAGAAGCAAAATGTTCACTTATGCATTGGTTAAATTTCTAACTGACCCAAAACATGACTAATGATCAATATGAACGATGACGAAAAAAATCTCCAGTTTGAGGCGCTGGTGTCGTGGCTTGCTTGTGTCAAGTCAAAGACAATTACTGATTCCAGTATAAGGGGAGTCGGCGTAAAAGACCCTCCAAAAACGGAATGGAGAGAGAGAGAGAGAGAGAGGGAGGGGGGGGGGGTCTATTTTTTTTACGCGGACATGCGGCCTCCATCATTCGTCTGGTATTATTTTGATACGCCTGTGAAAAAGTCTCAAGGAGTCAAGTTAAATCTGAAAAAGTGTAAATAATATAGCAAGCATGGCGAATGTCTATAGCGAATTGACACGACAGTTTCTAACAGATAATCCAGATATACTAACCTCATTTTCCACAAAAGATTGCTCTTCAGGAAACACCACCGAATATTCACCATCTTCCTGCAAACGGTAACAAACCATCCATTCAGTCATAATTATATATGCAGAACATAAAAACAGGGAACATGATGAGTGTTTCATAGGGGGGAAAACCCCGAACTGTTGGCTGATAACTATAATTCCACGTATCCGGGCACCCCAGATAACCACCCCCAGTCAACTACCCCCTAGGATAGTTGTCCGGGGGTAGGTGTCCGGGGGTAGGTGTCCTAGAGGATGGTTGTCGTAGGGGGTAGTTGACCGGGGGTGGTTATCTTGTGGGGGTGGGTGTCCAGGGGGTAGGTGTCCTAGAACCATAATTACATCATAATTATGCAGGATATCAAGTCAGGCAACACCATAAATGTTTCATAGAAAAACGAACTGTTTTTAATGGCTTATGATCGTAATAATTATCATCACATTTCATCACGCCTCTATTATGGCTCGCTAATATTTCATGTTCATAGTTTCATGTCATGCCTATGTGCATATTAAGAACGTATGCATCTTCATGGTCTTAAAATCATTTCCTGATGAATAGAAATTCATCTCTTAAAATAAACTCAGCGTATGCCCTTCCCTTTTGATAAAACAGGGACAAATTCTATTACAGCTTTAATTGCAATGGATCAACACCTGCAGTTGTGGCCGCGTTTACCCCCCCCCCCCGCACCTCCATCGCAACCTGGAGAGGATTCCGTTCCATCTATGCATGGATACGCCATTGAAATTAATTCATGTCTTCCTTACTTCTGGAGAGGAAGTAGACAGGCTAGACTGTGGTGAAAGTGAAGGCCTCGTCCTTTCACCATTAGCCAAGGGAGAAATGTAGCCCACGCTGTCCATGGTTCCTTCTGGCCCGTCGACATCTCCAATGCTGGGATAAGGACACTGTAAAAGTTGTGTTCCTGACGTCACTGAGGAGCCAGGACATCTCGATCCATTGGGAAAGACGTCTGTACGTCGGGGTGGTAGTTCAGGCCCTTTCTCCAGTAGATTTTCAGTGATATACATTGCCCCGGCTGGCGCTGGCGGTCCATGTGCAGGAGGTTTCACCCCAAGCTGCCCACCTCTTTCGTACTGGCCGCCTATGTCGATTTCATCTCGATCATGGCGTATCTTCATAACTAGGATGATAATACCACCAATAATGAAAATGATCAATACAGCCACTCCGGTAATGATGCCAATCATTTTGCTGTCCAATGAACCTGTAGATGTGGGCGCGTCTTTCTTTTGTAAGAGGGCTGCAGGTGTGATGAGATCAGTGACTAGGGGCACAGGTTTTACGGAAGGACAGATATCATGATGGCTGAGTTTAGTGAGAAATTGTCCGTTTAAACTTTCGGGAGTTGAACAGCTTGCCAAGTATGACGGGCCTGCATCAGAAGTCATCGCAGTCGCTCCATCAAGCCAGTACTGAAGAGGGTAAATAGAACAATCGCAGTGGAGCGGATTGTGAGAGATATTAAGGTGGGCAACCTGAGGGATGTTGATGAAGGTGATATTCCTGGTCGAATTCAACGAATTATACTGCAGCCGGAGCTTCGTCAAATGTGGAAAATTATCAAGAGCTTCAGTTTCGATCGATTTTATCACGTTGAATGATATATCGAGTACATTGAGAGAACCGAGGAATTCAAACGAGTCACTCTGAATGCTGATAATCTGATTGTGCTGGAGATAAAGCTTTCTCAGTCCAGAAAGACTCGCAAAATCGCGGTTATGGAGATGCTGAATGTCATTGAAAGAAAGCTGAAGCGTTTCGATTTTGTTGGCATATGGGAATATTCCCGTTGGTACTCGGGTCAAGTCTGTATATTGCAGATCCAAGTGGACAAGATTACCAAGTCCACTGAATGCACGACCGCTCAGGTCTCCCAGTGGGTTGTTCTTAAGATAGAGTTTGGTCAGGTGAGAAAATCTGCTGAAGCAGTCATCCGGCAAATAAGTGATTTTATTACTGTCAAGGAATAGCGTATGAAGAGAATTGACAGTGGAGAAGGCATCGCATGGAGCTGTCATAAGTTCATTTTCCTGCAAAGATAGGTACTGCAGGTTTGTCATGTTCTGAAATGCACCTGGTTGGATCACCTCCAATCCGGCCTTGTTGATGAACATGTGCAGCACATTTGGTAACCCCCTCATCATGTCTGGTTTGAGAGTTGGAATACCGATCTCGTTCAGATGGATCTGTTGCAACTCGGTACACCCTTCAAATGCTCCGTTTTCTAGGGTCAAGTTATTTCTGTCTAGGTACAGGTACTTCAGGTTGGAAAAATTGCTAAAGGAACCCTCCGTCAAATGCTGCAATCTGTTATCCTGCATCTGCAAGGTCTTGGCTGATTTACACTCCTGTGGCACGTAAGTCAGATCTCGCCCCTGACATCCGGCTTCCTTCCCCCATGCATTGTACTCGCACACATCTGAACATCCAGTGCTCACCGCCATACAGTCTGTGATGAAGCAGACTGACAGCACCACCAACTTGACCAACAACACTTGCTGAGAGAGTTCCACCATGATGCTGACATTGAAGATTCGTGGATATCTGCATAAGAATAAAAACAAGAAAATAATGTCCACAACTGTTAGTTTTGAAATCAATGCCATGTATTCATTATTAGTGTTTTCATTAACGAGCCATGTTGGATAACCTATTATTGTCCTTTTCTGATCTGATGAAGGGAAAAGTGTAGAGTTCAAAACATTAAACTATTTGATCTGCGAATTAGTCAACTCTCCCATTATTTTTTTACTCTAGGAAAATGGTAATGTAAGAGATTAGTTAATTGCAAAATTAACGTACTACTAAGAAAAAGCAGAAAACGATTAAAAAAAAGTTCACCTGGCTAACAAAGAATGATATCATGAATGGATGCTAGAAACTAATTAATCGAAATCAAGTTACCTCTGGAAGACGGTTTGTGCATAATATCTCAGTTGGTTTCGACTTTCGAATTCAAAGCACAAAGGAGAAGAAGAGGGAATCGGCGGTTGAAAACTCTTAAAAAGCGATGTTTGATATAAAAAGGCATGAACAATAGTGTTTACCGTCCCCTAATAAAATCTGGATTTCCCCATGATCAGACACAGTTCTGATTTATTATGACCCCATTGATACAGATTCAATGATAAACAGCTCCTCGAATATATTATATAAAGGTTTCAGATAAGGGCCAATAATCTTTCATTTTCATGTTTATGCTAACCCTTTGATCAGTCTGAGAAATTGTATTATAGAACACAATTATAAGGCCATAGAATGATGAAGAGCTTGGCAACCTAAACACCACTCAATATTGATTAGATTTATTGTTGATATTGAACTGTTATTCAAAGTGATTGGTCGCATTGATATGAGCAGGGACATGATAGCTGATATGAGGGAGAAGCAAGAAGAACATTGATTAGCTAGACATGGCAGAGACAGACAAACATCACTCTCCCACATTTAGAAAATTCAGTGACAGTTGGGCCTGTAAATGAATAACGGGACCAGTTTGGGGGTAAAAAGAATATACCCCCAATCTCAAACGTTCTTTCTAAAGCAGCGCTCGATATCAAGGGTTGTGTATACATTTCTGCTTAGTAGTGGGGGGGGGGGGGCTTTAAATTGTTATTTGACCCAACATGATTTTCAAAACAGATCGCCTCCTCTTGGGAGACATAAGACACGTAAATAAAGCAGTTCATAATGATTTGTCTTTCGAAGCCCGGTCATAGTGCTTACCTATATCTAGCCTATCTCAACCCAGGTTTGTTGAAAGTGTCTGGTGGAATTTATTATAAGATTTGAAGAAGTACGAAGTTTACTTTTTACATCTATTCTGGTGATAGGATTACTGAAAGGATGACATTTTATTTTTTTTTTATATAGAAAGATACCAGTCAGCTATATATAGGGTACATCATAGGTACCTAGATATGCGTGTTTTTCTCTATTATATAGGTCTAGTTTTCCAATGTGTTGTAATAATGGCTGGGAGATACCCTAATGAATAAATTATTGCCCAATAAACATTGACAAAAGGAGACCCAGAGCCTCTTGTAGGATAATAATGGCCCACGATCATGAAATCGTGTCTAGTTGTGAAGTTTTGTTGCTGATCATTACTTTCTCTTGGATGTATCAAAAGGATACGAAATGAGAACTAGATTTTAATTCGTCACGAGGACGAATAAGGTGGTCTGCCTTCAAGTTATATAGACATGTAAACAATGATGATCTTAATGATGATCATGATGATGATGATCTTTATAGTAATGGTGATGACGATGATGATGAACATCACAATCATGATGATGTTGATGATCATCATCAACAGACCATGATGACATCAGACTGAAAAAAATGAGAGAACATTTAGATAGTATATAGTCTCAGCTACAACATACTCCAAAATCAACAAAAATAAAGCCGAAATAACGGCGATATTGCTCGCAAAAGACAAGAATGTAGAATCCAGATTTGAGAAAAAGTCATCTCCCATAAGGATTACACGCCAAAAGTAATGGATCAAGTGATAATAGGGTAATATTAAAGTAAATATGGTTGTTTATTACATTATTTGCGATTGTACGTGTTTTAATATTCAAAGGAGATGGTACAGTGAAAGGTCAAAAAGAAAAAAAAGTGAAGAAAAAAAATTGTTGGAAACGCCCGGACTCGAACCAGGGACCTCGAGGTCGGAAGTCAAGTGCGTTACCGATATACCAAAACATTTCCAATAGAGATTACACGTAAACGGAAAACTGAATTCTCAAATCCCACTTTGTAAGTGAAATATGAGCATGATCCCGGCATCTGATCGAAAAATAAAGGGCACACTTGTGATAGCTTATTGTCTCAGCTACAACATACTCAAAGCTCAGCGTAAACAAAGATACAACGACGGAGATATTGCTCGCAAAAGACGAGAATGTAGAATCCAGTTTTGAGAAAAAGTCATGTCCCATAGAGAATACACGCAAAATGTAAAAAATTGACATGCCTCCTTTAATCGCAAAAATACGCCATAATACCATTGTCCAAATGAAAATTCGTGGTAACTGTATTTGTAGAGAATATTCTCAGGTAGAACATATCAAAATTTGAAACAAAATTGATCAATATTTACAGAGATACAATCAATTTTCCAAAAATCTGCTGACGTCATAATATGCAAATTGAAATTTTGAGTTCGGAGGCCATTATGATGACGTCATGAGTTAATTGAGGGTCAAATGAGACATGAAATCATACCTCCAACTCATAATCTATTTAAATATGAAAGAAATTGGGGGTTATCTATCAATTCTGAAGAGTTAAAATGAATTTTGTATAGGCATGTTTTTGCCCATGTATTGTGGATACAGATAGCGCAGGTCGGCGCGTGCGTTCAACTTTGACAGCCGCTAATTGCGGTATTACTGGTCGGAAACAGGTAAACAAGGTATCAAAATGCTTGGAAAAATGTAATAAATATGATAACAGAAAAAATTTGGCGATTCTATGTTGCAAAATGCCAGGACGCGCGGATACGCGCGGAAACGCGCGCGCATAATTACGCGCGCGCAAATTTTGAAAATGCTTAAAATGGCCTGAAACGTATGCAAAATTAATTTGGAACGAATTTGACCATTTTAAAATTTTAATGCGCGCGTACGTGCGCGTCGAGGTGCGCGCACAAATTTTGTTGACATTTTTCGTTGACCTTTGACCTGAAGTTGATGTATACCAAATATGGTTGATTTTTGATGACTCGTTATCGAGATATGATAATGACCTGATTTTTACAAAATGGCGCCTGGATGACGTCACGATGACCCCATGACCTTGAAAAAGTTGATTTGACTTGAAATCATAGTGCTTGATGACTGACAGAAATTTGAAGGAAATTGACCATGTCGATTTCGAGTGAACGTGTGTACAAAAAAGTGTACGGAAGAAATAAAAATAAACTAGATTTTAATTCGTCACGAGGACGAATAAGATGGTCTGCCTTCAAGTTATATAGACATGTAAACAATGATGATCATGATGATGATCATGATGATGATGATCTTGATAGTAATGGTGATGACGATGATGATGATCATCACGATCATGATGATGTTGATGATCATCATCAACAGACCATGATGACATCAGACTGAACAAAATGAGAGAACTTTGAGATAGTATATAGTCTCAGCTACAACATACTAAAAAATCAACAAAAATCAAGCGGAAATAACGGCGATATTGCTCGCAAAAGACAAGAATGTAGAATCCAGATTTGAGAAAAAGTCATCTCCCATAAGGATTACACGCAAAAAGTAATGGATCAAGTGATAATAGGGTAATAATAAAGTAAATATGGTTGTGTATTACATTATTTGTTTCAATATTCAAAGGAGATGGTACAGTGAAAGGTCAAAAAGAAAAAAAAGTGAAGAAAACAAATTGTTGGAGACGCCCGGACTCGAACCAGGGACCTCGAGGTCGGAAGTCAAGTGCGTTACCGATATACCAAAACATTTCACATAGAGATTACACGTAAACGGAAAATGGAATTCTCTAATCCCACTTTGTAAGTGAAATATGAGCATGATCCCGGCATCTGATCGAAAAATTAAGGGCACACTTGTGATAGCTTATTGTCTCAGCTACAACATACTCAAAGTTCAGCGTAAACAAAGATAAAACGACGGAGATATTGCTCGCGAAAGACGAGAATGTAGAATCCAGTTTTGAGAAAAAGTCATGTCCCATAGAGAATACACGCAAAATGTGAAAAATTGACATGCCTCCTTTAATCGCAAAAATACGCCATGATGCCTTTGTCAAAATGAAATATCGTGGCAACTGCATTTGTAGAGAATATTCTAAGGTAGAACATATCAAAATTTGAAAGAAAATTGATCAATATTTGCAGAGATACAATCAATTTTCCAAAAATCTGCTGACGTCATAATATGAAAATTGAAATTTTGAGTTCGGAGGCCATTATGATGACGTCATGAGTTAATTGAGGGTCAAATGAAACATGAAATCATATCTCCGATTCATACTCTATCAAAATATGAAAAAAAACTTGGGGTCACCTTGCATCCTAAAGCGCTACAATGGATTTTGTACAGGCATGTTTTTGCCCATGTATGCTATGTATTACAAAAGCTCGCGCGCACGGTAATTATCTTAAACGGACGCTCATTCCGTTATTAATGGGCAGAAAAAGTTGAACAAGGTATCAAAATGCTTGAAAAAATGTGCCAAATATGATGACAGAAAAAATTCGGCGATTCTATGTTGGAAGATGCAATTACGCGCGAAAACGCGCGCGCATGTCCGTGCGCGCGTTTTTTTGCAAAATGCTTAAAATGGCCTGAAACGTATGCAAAATTAATTTTAAACGAATCAGAGCATTATACAATTTTCATGCGCGCGTACGTGCGCGTCGAGGTGCGTGCGCGGAATTTGTTGACATTTTTAGTTGACCTTTGACCTGAAGTTGATGTATACTAAATATGGTTTATTTTTGATGACTCGTTATTGAGATATGATAATGACCTGATTTTTACAAAATG